GAGTGCAACAATGATTTACAGTTAGTGATTTACAGTTACATGATAATAATTTTTGATAGATACAAAATAATCTATTTTTGAACAAGCAAGCAGCAATAAGGCAAGTATTTCAGAGGAGAGCATCTTGATTTCTGAAATTCAGATCCTGATCCCCTGATCTCACTTATCCTTTCATCATGGTAAAAAAAGCAAGTTGTTTCCCCACACAGCCTCACCATTCCCCAGCCAGCATCTCCTTGACTACACTTCACTTCACCTCTTGGAATTATACTGTCAAAACCAAATTTGGTTTAAAGCATAAAATGCACTATACTGTATAATACATGTTTTAAATGATGTACACAGATGCTTTAAAAAAACAACCACGACTGAGAAAAGTAATTTTACCTTTCTTTCCCATATCTGAATCTTTCCTCTCCAGAGTTCCTTCGAATCAATGATACTCATGACATTATCTGAAGATACAAAGTCTGCTGATAGATAGTCTGCAATCTTTTGCAAGCTACTGTAAAAGCAAAGAAGAATTAACTTTACCGAATTTAGTACTAAAAATTAATATGAAGTGCAATTTGACAGAGTTTACATATTACATACAAAACTACATATTCATTTTACAAAACTTGTAAAACTATTATCAGAACAAATTATAATATAGCATAGTATAAGTTCAAAACATTGTATGCACACTGAAGCCACTAGCAATGTAAAGAGAAAACATTTTCACAGAGTCATAGAATGGTCTGGGTTGGAAGGCACCTTCAGGATCAGCTAGTTCCAACCCCCCTGCCATGAGCAGGGACACCGCCACTGGACCAGGTTGCCCAAAGCCCTATCTAACCTGGCCTTCAACACTTCCATTTTACCTTCTGCTCTCACAGAAAGAGGAACTTCAGAAGACTTGCTTTTTTGCCTGCCCCTCTGGTATGGCATGTATTTACAATAAATCAGCATAAGTAATTCCTCTGCTCAAACAATAGAAAAACACAGACCTAGATATTTTCGAAGTATACATGTAAAGTGCTCAAGACACCGATATACACACTAACACAAAACAAGAGTGACCTCATTTATAGACCTAGAATAAATGCCATACCCTTTAGAGTCATTTGCTGCAATAGTGATTTTTGCAGAGTGCCATTCTCTCAGGTGTTTCAGGGCACCGACAGCAGGTAAGCAGTCTTTTAACTTGGGTCCATCTCGTTCAACAGCCTGCAGTATTACATCAACCATTGCTCTGCCTGTAAAAACAGTTACATTTGCATCAAAGCACCATTATTCATCATTCAGTCATTTAAAGATACAAAAGTACATCACTGAATAAATGGGCTTAAAGATCAACTTCAAGCAACTTTAGCAAGATTTAGAACACTTTTCATGCATTTTAGCTCACCTCGTGCTGCTCCTTTTAGATTAGCACAAAATATTTTGCCATTCACTCAGGTACAGTGGTACCTTTCTCCTCTCTCACTCAGCACTGAATTCCACAGATCAGAGTTGTCTCCAATACAACCACACTACGTCACTCTCCTCCTTTTAACACCTCTAAACTGCTATTTCTCATTCTTTCTGCACTCAGTTCCTTTGCTGTTCCAAAGCAACTACTGCAACACTATGTAACCCCAACATGAAAGATGATATGCACCCCAAGTTTATAAAATGTGAATGCAATATATTTTGTCATGTTCCTTGGCTTCCACCTACAAGCAGTCATCTGTCAAATCAGGTACAACATGAATTTTAACAGTCTACAGTGGTTTCCCCACATGAACAACAATTATATGTTAGCTGTGACAAGATGATACCTTCCATTTCTTTCATAAAAACTTTCTATGGTTGCATGTCAAGTTTTGTATTGGTTATTGTCTATTACTACTTTGGTGCTATTTCAGATGGAAAAATTAATTAAACATCTTAAACAATTCATCTTAAACTCTACTGAAATGCAGCCTTCCAAAGAAACAAGTAACAAACTACTCTGTAAACTGATCTGCAATGCCAATCACACTCAAGTTCCTTAAACTACTTGCAAGAGCAGCATATAAGTTAATTCAACTAACAAACCAACATCTGTTGAATTCTTCCATTTGACTCCAATTTTATGAGCTGAAATTTCAGAGTAATAACTAAAGAGATAAAAAAACCAATCTCATTTGAGATTAAGAGAGATTACCTGGGGCAGGGAGCTTATCAGCTAACTGATGCAGACTTTCTGCAGCTTCATCATAGATACTGAAAATGAAGAGCAACACGGTTGGAAACAAAACATAAAGCCATTTAGAATCAAAAAGTTACAATCAATAACTACTACTTGATGTAAGTATCTTATATCATTAAAATTCTGCACAAACATACCTAAGCAATGAGATATACTTATCTCCCCTTTTACTGAGGCAGAAGTAGGCTAAATGACTTCAAAACAATCTGCATTAAAACTGGAAGCAAGCTTCAAGATGGATTAGTAAGAAACTTCTTTTTCTATATATAACTGTCAGTTTTTACAAAACTGTTTATTTATTCTGTAAAAATTATCTATAGCTAAAAAAATAAAGCTATATTAAACAAAACAGGATTATTTTTAGTAGCAGTGGAGATTGTTCATAGTTAAGTCTTGCTTTGGTAATAACTTTCACTTATTAAATTTTCTTTACTCCCTTCGGTTATTTAAGTGTCAGATCACTATACTTCCAAAAAAAATAACAATATGCATACTCAGTCATAGAGAGTGACTCTCTACTGTTATTGTCATCTTCCTCAAAATTTTGTATGGCTCCCAGGCATTCATCAATACTTGTCTGGAGAGAGTCTTCATTTTTCTGTGTGTCAGAATTTATTTCTTCCCAGTCAGAACTACAGAACTAATCAAACAAAAAGAATTATTTAAGCAAAAGTAGGTTGGAACATCCAGTTTCAACATGCTCTAAAGACAGCTGAGGAACTTACATTGTTGGGGAAAAAAAAGTTTTACCTGATAGTAACCACATATAACATGTCTTGCAAAATACCACTTTTTGACTCCTGGAACACCAGCCACTGAACATGCTGCAAAGAGATAAAACAATTATTTAAAATAATAAATCCACAATAATTCATTCTACCTATTACAATGAACATCTCTGTTGAAAGGATCTACATAAGCAATTTAATGTGCCCAAGTTCCACTTTCCTTTAGCATCATAACTAAGTTCTAACCATAACCATATTAAGGTGTAGGTAAGTGTCTTGGCAAGTGTCTGTTTCTGATCCTCTGACTGTTAGTAGGAGAGAAAATCTTTGACCTCTTCTCCATTTTAGGCAATATGGCTCTCCATTTACAGAGGTTGTATCATATGTGAAATAAATTTCAACTTTCATAAATGTGGTTTACACAGTTCACAAAATGAGATGATCTCTCAACTTTTCTATGCAATTAAAAGCACAGAGGTTGAAAACAGCTTAATGCTTAACATTCCTATCTTCATGAATTTTAACAGCTTATAGTGGTTTCCCCACTCCACTGTATTTCCTCACTTAGACATATATATGAAACACAATTATATGTTAGCTGTGACAAGATGAGCCTTAACAGCTCAACACTTGATATCCAAACCAATTAAAGAATTAATCAAGCTTTTTTTAACAAAAAAAAAAACCAACCAAACACCCAACCCCTGAAAGTACTAATGCAAATCTTCAGAAATCTATTTGAAGATTATACAATTATTTAACAAATATTCACAGAAAAAGGTTATGAACTGCTACCAAACAAATAGTGTTTCCAATGAAAAAACTAGAAGCCATCACAGGAGCAATGAAAATATTAAGGCCAGGCTGGATGGAGCTTGAAGCAACCTGGTCTAGCAGAAGCTGTCCCTGCCCGTGGCAGGGGGTGTGGAACTGAATGATCTTTCATGTCCCTTTTCTACCCAAACCATTTTATGATTCTATGATCAAGCTGCCCACTGAAATGAGAAACAAGTTCGTTCCTACTTTTCCTTGGTAATCTGGATTGAAATTTGTCAGCCTTTCAAAACCTTTCACTTCTTGTGACCAATCCATTTAACTGCCTCCTAACACCTCACATTCTGAAACGAGTTCAGTTCTCCACAGACACAGCAGCAGCAGATGCAGTCCCACCTGCAAGTTCAGACACATGGAAGAAACTAGGTTTCCTTCAGTTTCTGATTTGTTTCAGCTAGATCATAAAATGTGCCTAGGCCAATTCCTTGATAACATTTGCCCTACCTTACTGTACATTACCTGGGAATGTGCTCGCATCCACGTTTACAGATGAGTTACAGTTTTCTTTCAGGAACTGATAAACATTTGCAGCAGTCTCAGCTGAAAACAAAGTATTAAAACTACTGAATTACAGACTTGCTTTTTTTTTGTAAATACAGTATAAACTTTAGTTCATTATTAGTAATGAAAAAACATACAACAACAAATCAAACAAAAAAGAAAACCCAAATCTGAGAGATTTGTAGTTTAAAAAGGTGAATCTTGTTAAACTCTCTTTAAAGCAGCGCTCAGGAACGCCCCAGAGTTATACAGCAGTGTCGTAATAAAACACCAAACCCCTTGAATTTCTGGGGGTTTAAGTCATTACATACTTTAAAGGGTATGTGCTAAGGAGGTAGGACCCAGGAAAGCCTGCACGGGCGCAGGTACTGGAGCAGCCACCGTGAAGAACAGCCCTTCCCAGGCCAGCTCGCTGGGCCCGCGGCAGTGGTTCCCCACAAGGTGCGGCCCCCTGCCCCGTCCCCCCGCGGCGGTACCTGCTCCGGGCCCGGCCGCCGTTGCTCCCTCGCCCCTGCGCTCCGCCCAGCTCAGCAGCAGGACGTAGCGGTCCATGGCTCGGCGGGACCGGGACGGGGACAGGGACGGGACAGGGACGGGGACGGGGACGGGGACGGGGACGGGACGGGGACGGGACCGGGACCGGGACCGGGACGGGGACGGGACGGGAGCGGGAGCGGGAACGGGAAGGAGACGGAACCGCAGCCGCTCCAAACGGCCCGCGCTACCGCCCTTGCACCGCCCCTCGCAGGACTGTGCTTCCGCTTCCCGCCGGTGCAGCGGCCTCGGAGTTCCACTTCCCGTCAGCCGCGGCGGCTATGGCGAGTTACACGAAGGCGGCCCAGGTAAGCACGGAGCGCGGCCCTCCTCTTCGGGTCAGACTGTGTAGGGGCGGCCGCTGCTCCGAGGGTGGCCGCAGTGGCGTGGAGAGCTGTCGTGAGGGAGCGGGCAGGAGCTCGGGACGGAGGGGCGGCAGGTTCCCATGGGTGGTCTGACGTTCCGCAGGACTCCTTCCCTCCCCTTGTCGTGGAGCGGCGATTGTGCCAAGGGGCCTGCTGGCGGGCCCCGAGAGCTCTCAGCGTGTGGCCTGTCGGCTGCAGGCAGCGCCGGCTGGTCGTGTTCATAAAGCGACCTTTAGGGAAGTTGTGCCCTTCACTGAGAGGGAAGGAGATGCCAGGCGTTACATAGCCTACTGCCCCTGCAGTTAGGAGATCGGCATGTAAGCAAAATCCTCTGAGCTGGTAACCTTACAGTGTTGTTGCCGTCACACACTGGAAGTGTGCACAGTGGTGGGTGTGTTGCAGTGTGTAGCATCGTTCTCCGTCCATGAAAAGGTTATTTGGAGGGGTTGTTACTGAATATTAGTATTTCTTCTAGTATTTTGGAGGGTGAATAAACTCCAAAATTTAGAGTTTTTGGAGTTTATTAAAAAAAAAAAGTTGGAGTTTATTCCAAAAATAAAGAAGTCACAAGAGTGTGAATAAAGCGATGATCTAATTAGAGAAGGTAGACTTACGTGTAGAATTGTGGTTTTTTACTTTAATTACTACCTCTCTTTCTCTTTAGCAATGGGCTACTTTTGCCAGAGCCTGGTATCTTCTTGATGCAAAGTTGCAGCCACCAGGAAAAATAGCAGCTGAGACTGTACTCAGACTTGAAGGCAGGCATAAACCTATTTATCACGCGCTAAGTGAGTATTACTGAGTAGTTAAAAGCAAATTTGCCTTCCTTCACTTGTATCTTTCTTCTGATTTCAGCTTTAAAATCGAGCCTGATATATAAAGTTACATTTTGTAAATCATAAATGGCTTTGTTTTCCTTCTTATCTCTTTCCTTATTACTCCTTTACAATCTTATGTCATTGTCTTTACCATATGGAGCTCATTATGAATATATATGGTTTCTTTTAAGTAGCTGAATTACAGTGGGTTATGCTTTCATTTTTTTAAAAGCCTTAAAACATGTTTCGTTCCCTTGATTTTAGCTGTAAAGATTTAATTCACAGTGCACACAGTGAAACACTGATACGATTCTGACTAGACCACAGTCTTGGAGTGGTTCTCCATTCTGAATAAGGTGTAGAGATGTCCTGTCTTCATGAGGCAAAAGGCACAAACTAAAACACAGGAGGTTCACTCTGAACACCAGGAAATGTGGTTTTTTTTACTGTGAGGTTGACTTGAAGTGATTGCCCAAGAGGTTGTGGAGTCTCCGTCTTTCGAGATATTCAAAAGCTGGCTCTGCTTGAGCAGAGGGGTTGGACAACATGACCTCCAGAGGTCCCTTCCAACTTCACACATTCTGTGACAATGAGGCTGGAACCTGTCTGATTTTTAAATGGGAGATTTAGTAATTGTTGACAGATGTCTTCTCATTTACATGAAAAAGTCATTTTGCTCTTTGGCAGATAAGACAATTCAGCAGTGAAGGTGTACCTGTGATCTTGTTTGTTTCTTGTAGTACCATAGTGCCTGTCACACAGTGATAAGCATTTTATAGATAATAAAAAGCTCATTGGTGGTACAGTGTTTCCTGTAATTCTCACACAGATATTTCAAGAGACTCTACTGAAACATAAAGGAAGCATTACTCTTTGTACAATGTACATACTAAAACCTGGTTTTCATAATAGAAAGTTGTTTTAAATACCAGTTCTGCTGTTGCAAATTATGTCTTCTCCACAAGATGTCACTGGAGACTAAGGCTGTCTGAAAAGTAAAGCAGGCATTGAGAGGAAATGGTTTTGGTTGTCCTGTGGGAAAGATCTTTGATACTTTTATGTCCCTGAAGTTATAAAATCCTGGAAATTCATTTCAAGTATAACTTTATTTCATCTGAAGTATTCTATAAATCAGTACCAAAGGCATTACACCTGAGTTTGGCATCGATAGGCTACTACTAGAGACATTTGATATTCTCTAAGAGAGCAGAGTATGCCTGAGTTTGTGGTTGATGTGTTTAACACTTTTTTTTTTTTTTTTTTAAGCTATCAATAATTATTTTCATGTCTGTGAAATAACAGTTCCTCTGTTGTTTTGGTTTGTTTTTAATTTGATATCCAGATACCCTTCCATAAAATCATTATTTATTTATTGTGTTGAAAAGTATCTGGAGTGAAATTTATGCTGTGGTTAGGGAAGGAAAGAAATTTGACTTCTTGTGTATTTATTTTCTGGTTTAGGGATAATCTTTTATTATTCTTCAGTCTCATTTTTTTAGATGCTGTCAGGCCTTATGCCTTAAATAAGGGGATGAAAACTTGTTCAGGAGGTTTGAATTTGGATTTTTAAGTTTCTTCTGCACCTTCAATTTCTCTCAACCCTCATCCCTTTGCATCCTGTCTTTGTAAGCAGCTTCACAATAGAGAGCGAAAAACAGTGGGCCAGATGTTTTTTTAAATGGGGTGATCTGGTTCTTTATGTTGGATTGTGAGCAGGTGTAGGTAAGCCAGATCTGTTGCTTGGGTAGGATTTGATGCTCTTCCCTGTATCCTCAAAGGAAATGACTAGCCTAGATGGAAGTGTACTGCAAACCCAGTCTGGCCCAGGTATAACTTTAGGCTGCAGTGTTAGTCTATAATATCTAGAAGCAGCCGCAAAGATTTGTCTTCTGATGAAAGATTTGGCAAGTAGTTTTTCAGTCTTGTGAGCTAACAGCTGACAATATGTACATTTAATTACAATTTAGTCCTAATTAAAATGTAGGAGGAAAAATGCATGTACCTGAAGTATGTGTTTTTACTATATGACAGGAATTACTGAAGTTATAAGCGTATTTATGTGTTACTATGTATATATCACACAGTAGTTATTTTGTTGATTGCCTCTATGGTTCCCTTAATACTTTCCACTAACTTCTGCATTGTAGATGACTGTGGAGATCATGTTGTTGTAATAAATACAAAACACATTGCCTTCTCTGGTAACAAGTGGGAACAGAAAGTGTATTCGTCACATACTGGGTAAGCTTCATAATCAATATGCAAATAAGCTAGCAGTTGATGTAATCTCATATTTGCTTAATAGCTAAAGTCTTTTTTAGCATATTGATTCAAAAAGGAATTCCCATTTACATGTTTGGAGTTTTGTTTACTCGTGTTATGATGTTAAAAGTGATGCAAATCTTTTTCTTTCTTTCTTTGCCCCCCACCCAGTGTGTGTTGTTAGGGAAAGAATCTAAAGTAGTTGGAGCAATTGAGTAAGTGGTCAGATTTGGTGAGCCAGGTTGTTTTGTGTGAAGCTGTGAAGCCAGTGATGGAATGATGGGGATTATTCCGTTTATTAAGCAGTAGAAAACATTCCTATTGACACCTTATATCTAAGATATATGTGGCTGCCAACTTCAGTTACTTTATTCTACAAGTACCTATTTACCTAAGAGTAAATATCAAGATTGATTATTGAATCAGAGGAAAAAAAAAAAAAAGAAAAAACTAGTAAGAAATAAAATGCTCTCAAGATGTACTGATACATATGTGTACTATATATATGTGTACAATATGTTTTTCTGGGAGGCATAACTTATTTACAATGTAAGTGCAATAACCCATTGCAAACAGTATGGCAACGATAAGTTTGATGCTCACAGTGATGACAACTAGATAAGAATCTATAAGTCAAATATATGCAGCCATGAGATGAATAAATCACACTGAGAAAGCTAATTTTGCTAGTACTGATGTTTCAGTCCTGAAATTCCTTTGCTGAATTGCTGAGTTCTTGTTTGGTTGATGGAAATTAATACACTCTTTTCATTCCTCTTCCACCCTTATGACTCCTTAAAAATTTTCACTCAAAACTTCTACGTAAGTTAAAGCACTTCGTGTGAGTGCTTACACACTTATACTTACCTGGCAGTGGAGACATCATGATCAAGCATGTGGTTTTCCCAGGGCGAGGCTCATCCCTTGCACTCCAAGTGTGCTGACCCCTGTGATTTCCTCAAACACAGAAAACTCGACTGCATAATTTGTAGTAGTGGGGGGGACTAGGGCAATCTGGCTGTGACATCTGTCACCCCATTGATCGACAGGGTTGATTCAGCTGATCTGGCTGGTTAGGCGGGTATCCCCTTCCTCCCTCACTGCTCTGCATGCGTCCCTCCCGAAGCTGTGCAGTCAGTCAAAGAGGAAGACCTTCCCTGATGCAGTACCGTTTATCAGTCACGGGTATACAGTAGCTGGGCTCCCCTGCTAGAGCCTCCAGACAAGCTCAAGGTCCAGTTGTAGGAAAATGTAAGGTAGTCAAGCTTCCAAGACTGCAGACACATCCAAGTGAGGCGCTACATGTGGCAGTCTGTTTTTTGTTTTTTTTTTGTTTTTTTTAACCATGCCAAGCATAAGGTCCTACACTTGGGTCGGAGCAATCCCAGGCACAGCTACAGGTGGGGCAGAGAAGAGATTCAGAGCAGCCCTGAGGAGAAGGACTTGGGGGTGTTGGGCGATGAGAAAATGAACATGAGCCAGCTTCAGTGTGCGCTCGCAGCCCCAAAGGCCAACCGTATCCTGGGCTGCATCGAAAGGAGCGTGACCAGCAGGTCGAAGGAGGTGATCCTGCCCCTCTACTCTGCTCTCGTGAGACCTCACTTGGAGTGTTGTGTGCAGTTCTGGTGTCCTCAACATAAAAAGGACATGGAAATGTTAGAACAAGTGCAGAGGAGGGCCACGAGGATGATGAGGGGGCTGGAGCACCTCCCATAGCTGCTCCCAGCACCCAAGGCTGAAAAAGTTGGGGCTGTTCAGCCTTGAGAAGAAGAGGCTGCATGGAGACCTCAGAGCAGCCTTCCAGTATCTGAAGCGGGGCTATAAGGGTGCTGAGGAGGGACTCTTCATTAAGGACTGTAGCGATAAGACAATGGGTAACGGGTTCAAACTTAGGGGAGGTTTAGATTGGATATAAGGAAGAAGTTTTTTACTGTAAGGGTGGTGAGGCACTGGAATGGGTTGCCCAGGGAGGTTGTGAATGCTCCATCCCTGGGAGGTGTTCAAGGCCAGGTTGGATAGAGCCTTGGGTGACATGGTTTAGTGTCAGGTGTCCCTGCCCATGACAGGGGGTTGGAACTGGATGATCTTAAGGTCCTTTCCAACCCTAACTGTTTATGATTCTATGATTCGAAGCGTTGCGTGTAAGTTTTGAGTAAATGAAAAGAATTGTGCGATTAAAACAAATGCTCATATCTGTGCAGTTTCCGAAGAGGGCATGATCTCATGGTGTTGAGTTTATTTTCATTTCACTCAGGTTGATACCTAATAATGTAATTAAATCAAAATGAAACCCAGCTTTACTTGATATTCATGTCATTTCTTGCACCACTGTATCCTTAAAGTATATGCATAAGTGTGAATTAGTGCAACTTCACCATATCTCATAGACTTTAAACAGATGGATGCATTGCAGTAAAAGTCAAATTTTATTACTGTAGGCATGCCAAGTCATGCTAAGATTTATTTAAAATAGTAAGAAAATAATAAATACTGTCCGAAATGGTTGTTTAGTATGTCAGCCACAGACTGGTTGCGAGTCTTGATCATCTTGGAATACTTCCAGGTTTTACGTATCTTACTCCCACTGTATTCTGTAACTATGATGGTGTACTTTATAAGCAGTTTTAAAAACATATCCATCTGCTTGTGAAACACAGACATTTTCATAATCCAAGTGAATAAATAAGAAAGTATGAATGTTGTTAAGCTTGGATTCTTGACAGGATAGTACCTTTTTAATAAAATTTAGTGAGAACAACTTCATTTTTTAAAGGCTTGCAATACCATTGCCCTGTTGTTCAAGATGTAGTGATATTTGTGTTAACAATGTGCTTGAACATATAGCTTTAAGCTTTTATGTTTATTCTGGTTTTATAGCTATCCTGGTGGTTTCAAACAAGTGACAGCAACTCAACTCCATTTAAAGGATCCAACTGCTGTAAGTGTTTCCCCTTCTTCCCTTTTACTTGCAAAGCTGTTTTGTTTTCATTTAATTAGCTCCTCTAAACAAAAGGGATTGCTCACCTTTTAGCATGTCTAAAGCTAAATCACATTTTGCTAACAGCTCTTAGAAGCTTGACTTGTAACAGTGTTTTTGTAAGCAGCATGTTTTGAGGGTTAGGCTGTAGGTTGTGCATTTTTGTGATTCTTCCACGCTGTCCAGATGAGCAAATCGAGTTCATTTGCTTCACTCATTTTTGACTGATTTACTTGCTTTTAGTTTCAGGGGTCTGACCTTTCTCACAAGCCAACTGCCTCAAGTTAGACTTAGCTAAGTTGTACTTCAGCTTATTGACCCTACTACTTTTTTAAGAGCCAGCAAGAATAATGCTAATCTTAAAAGTGTTAGAAAGTACAACTGTCTCTTCCAATAAAATTCAATTTTAGGTTTTGTTAAATACTTACTTTATAGAAAGCATCTTTCATGCTGTGTATTTATGTTCATGCTCTGTGAAAGAATTGGAAATGGTGATTAAGTTGAAATTAAGCATCTTTACTAAATGTGTGTATCAGACTATTGTAAATTCTGAACATCAGTGTTGATGTGTTTGTTACTGATTAACAAAGTAGGGTATTAGATACAAACATTTTGGGATGTTGACTTACGCAGTTAGGAAGTTTTACTAGGAGTTTGAGTGGTCAGCATTGGAGGAATGAGTTCGCTCAATACTGGTGTTTCAGAACATGGTATGAGGTCCACAGAAAAATAACACATATTTATGTGTATTTTTGACTCTGAAAGGGTTTAGCTTGGGTCACCTTACATATAAAATAGAAAAATGCTTCTTCTTTCTCATAGAAATAAATTTTATCTGCTGTAAAAATCCTGGGGTTTGATAATGATTTTTTTTTTTTTTTCATCTATGATTTAGAACTCCTGGTTTGTCCCAAGACTCTCTTACACAAGACATTGTACTCAGTAAAAACCAGTCTGCCATATGAATTTGTCTGGTTTTCGTTTTTACTTTTGCAAATTCCTCATTTAAAGTGAAATTAAATCCCACAGTTCAATATTATTTTCATCTAGAATTTTTTGAAACTTAAATGCTTTTGAGAACAGGCTCTAAGATAGTTGTAATTCCTTTGGGAATTAACTGACATTTCCACATCTAAAGTGGATTCGTTGACCTTTTTCTTTGAGCTTCAGGCAGATCCTGTGCACTGGGAGGCAGTATAGGACAACTTGTTTGTTAGGGCCTGAGACTTGGATGTTTTATAAATTACCTTCTGGCATTCATTCTGAAATACCTCTTTGCTTGCCAGACTCATAGATGAATTTCTGTGCAAACAGAGGAGGGTTACATGCATTGCCAATAACTATAGCATGTTGGACAGAGGCTCAGCTAATGGTGATGTGGCTCAAGGCTTGGACTGATTTAGGGAAAGAAACTTCTTTTTAACATAATTGTGGAGAGCTCTCAAGCAGTTAACTCTTTCATTCTATTCAAGTGAAGCATTCAGATGTCCCTTTGCTGAAGATCTCTCATATGTATTCTTGTCATATTAATAGGAGTGGATGGCAGTTATTCATGATATATTTTGTATGTGTGGCTGTGTAGGTTTTGACTTGCAAGTGATTTTTGGGTAAGAAATATTTATTTACCATGTGAATTTTTTGGTGTGAAATACATCGGGATATAACAAAGATGGAAATTATGATGGTATTTTATTAATATGTTTTGTATTTAGAACTAGCTGTTAAAACCTGAAAAAGGATTACTGTAAAGAGAGCAATGCCTAGCCTAAGTAACATTTGGATCTTCAAAATATGAGTTAAGTGACGCATAGTTACTGTGGAGGCTTTCATAAATCACTGTCTTGAATTGAAAAGAGACCTTTTCTCTTTTAATCATGTTAAATTCTTGTGAAGCCAGTGGAAATAGGCAGGTTGTAGGAAGTAGACTATATCTTTCTATGGAATCAAAGTCTTCATTCTGTAAAGCCTTGTTTTCATCCTGGAGGCTACTATTTTTTCTCTGCTCTTGCTCCTATTGTCTCCTGCGAGTTCATTAAATGAGTCATTATTTTTGGAAATAGTGCTGTTACAGAAATTAATGCATTAAATTAATGGAAGAGATTACTTCCAAGGAAAAGGATGTTGATATAGCACCTTGTAAACTTGCATGGTGTTACATAGAGGTTTAGCAATGGATGTGATATTTTCGGTTTGTGTAAGAGGTAGATTAAAGCTTGTATTATTCTGTGAGTGTGTGTGTATATAATAGGACTGCAGCATTGCGTAGCACTGTTTTTACTTATATGTCTAACTTCAAACATACAAATTCCCCATGATAAATAATTTTCCATTACTGTTTAAACATTTTTTCTAGTATAGAGAGATACTGGGTTTAGGAAAAACTGGTACAAAGCTAATAGCTAATTAAAAAGGTTCTAATGAGTAATTTGATGCAATGTGATATGGTTTATGCTTACACTGGGGACTGAAATTCATAAGTATGTTTGCTGGAATTTAGACACATTTACTGCACTATCAGCCTTGATCGTTTCTAATTCCTTCATACGGTACCAAGATAGGGATGGATGATCTGATATTCTTGCTTAACAGAGGTCGACATCATTACAGCTATCTTCCCAACTCTGGACCTTCTGCATCAGAAGGATTTGTACTGAATTTTGAATATGCGCATGCATTTTTTCATAGGACCATAGGATAATCCAGGTTAGAGAAAACCTTGGGAGATCTCTAGTCTAACCTCCTACTCAAAGCAGTGTCAGCTATTAGGTAAGATGAGGCTGCTGGGAGCTTATCCAGACTGGTCTTGAGAGCCTCTTATGGCAACCATTTCCATGCCATGACCTTTTTTGTTGAAACACAAAAAACCCTGTGCCTATTGTAAGTGTTTAATCTCAGATGTATAATTTTGCATCTGAGATTCACAAAGCATTACTATATTTTTTCCACTTCCAGGTATCTTTCAAGTTAATATGGGGCAGTGAATACAAAAGGAGGTCTTCACATTTGATGTTTTATATAGAACTTAGTTCTGTGTTCATTCTGCCAAGTTTTTCAGCACTTCAGAAAAAAGTATTTTATGGAAGAGTTGAAATTACAGTGTGCTGAAAAGATATCAAAAATAAATAGTCTGCACATTTTTACCTTTAGCACCTTTGAGTGCCTTTGGGAGGCGTGGGGAGAGGAGTGTCTGTGAATCTGTAGTATTTTCCATGTCTGTTGTAGTATCTTCAGTTGTCTGCTCTTCTGGAGAATAGCAGAGAATAGCTCTTGTCTATTGAACTTGGCCAGGCTACTTTAGGAAGTGTTCATTGAAGAAAAGAAAAATATTTTCTTCACTTTTCAGCCTTTTTTTGTCTCTTACTTAGATTTAGTGTAAATTCTTGGACCATCCATAGAAAAGAGTATTTAGTATCTTCTTTAGGTGGAGCATGACAGTTTATTTCTGTAGTTCAAAACACCTTCTCTGTTCTTCAGGTTAATACAATGCTAATACTCTGTATGATATTACTATTCCCTTAGGATAGATATTAAGAGACAATAGTAATTTCCATTGTAGGTTGCTAAGAAAAATCTGTTGCAAAGGTTTGGTGTGTTTTCTTTGACAAGGAAGCCTTTTGAAAAGAAAGGAAACAAGTAAACCTTGTCTTTGAGACGACGTGCTTGGAATGCATAGAAGTTTGGGGATTTCTTGTTTGTTTTTAATGAAATTTGCAGCAGTCTTGTTTAGCTGGAAAAATGCTGATAGGCATGAGACCAACAGTTTCAAAATTGATCTTTAAAGCACTAGGTACAAGGAGACTAAAAGATGCACCTTTAAACCTCACAGATGTGAGAGGGAGCAAAATTTACTTGGAAAAATTTTTCTGGGAAAATCTTACAGCTTCTTATTAAAAAGATGTTGACAGATCCCATCTGTAGAAACAGGTAGTAATACTATTAGGACAAAGTTTTCAATCAATTTCTTACTCTATTTCTAATTTTAGAAGTAAGCAAAACTTGGCTTAGTTTTTTTTTTGGGGGGGGGAGTTTCTGCTGCTGCCCCACGCCCCCCCCAAAAAAATAAAAGGGGAACATCACGTTTGGCTAATACCAAGTGCTCAGTGAGAGGTTGACCTTTGCAGTATTCAGAGGCTGTAGTGCCTCTGACAAAGAAATAATGGACAATAATTGTTCAGAATGAATGGTACCTGCTAGGGAAGATTATTAAGCCAGGCAGGGTAGCTCTGTGGAAATGTGCAGCGAGGGTGAGGAAGCCTTCGGGGGTGTCAGGGTTCTGGTTTGTTCTGCTGCTGGCACTGATACTAAGGGGCTTAAAATGTTCCAATTCTCCTTTTGAATGCTCTTTAGCAGCTGCTTGTGGGTATAGACTTGCCATTATATCTGCATAATAATGATCTTTTGAAGAAAAGGCCAGACAGAAAACACAGTTAAATATTGCTGTTGGTATTTGAAAGCCTGTTTTCTTTGCCTCAGTAAGGGATGGTTGATACAATAATATGTGTGTCTACACACTAGAAGACAATTACTGAAGCACCAGATAAAATAGCTTTTTCTTCTGTTACTATGGAGAAAGGTTTTTAGTTAAGTAGAGCAAAACTTCAAAGTATGGATTAGTAGGCACACAGAAGTTAGCATGGCATAGGGAGAAGAATACTGTAATGGAACCTGTTATCTTAAAATCTCTATGTGCTCTAAATAAGTCTTAGAGCTGGCTTGGTCTTTTGCTTCGGAGTAGACAAAAGTACTTCTTTGTTTAAAAAAAGTCTTAATCCATTTCTTATTTGAATTTGCGAGACAAATTATTAATTTAAAGAACACAATAAACTTCTAAGTTTAATTGCTGAACAGTAGTGGAAAGAAAAATAGCATGCGTTGGAAGTTTGTCTGTGACCAAATAATTTTTATGACAGTACTAAGTAAATTCACTATTGCTGTACTACTTGTACAACTGTCAGAGGTAG